ATTAGCAGACTAGACACAAGAGAAGAGAGAATTACTAAACTCTAAGACAATCAATAGCAAATATCCAATCTGAAGCACAGAAGTGTAAAAAAAAAAAAGAATGGAAATAATAAAACAATGTATAAGAGACATATGGGGCATGCTTAATTAGAGTAGAAGAATGAGACAGGACAGAGAATGGGGCAGAGTAATATCTGAGAAACTAGGTAACAGCTAAGTAATCTCCTCAAACTAACAAAGACATCAACCTTCAAAAAAGTTCAGTGAACCCCAAATAGGATAAATGTAAAAAAAAAAATCATATCTAGAAACACATTAAACTGTTGAAAGTAAAAGCAATGAAGGGAACCTGGGTGGCTCAGTCAGTAGAACATGTGACTCTTGATCAACTTTTAACAGAAGCTATGGATGCAAGAGTCAATGGAACAACATCTTCAAAGTGCTGAAAGAAAACAAAACTGTCAAGCTCAAATTCTACACCCAGTGAAGAGTCATCAATCAAACAATCAATCAATCAGGACATTTTCAGACCCATCAAAGCTGAAAGAATCTTCTTCCATAAGTTTTTCACTAAAGAAATATGAAAAGAAGTTCCTACGACTAAGAAAATTGGCCCAGATAAAAGGATAAAACTTCAGAAATAAATGAAGGCTACCCAAAATGATAAATACGTCAATAAATGGAAGTGAATGCTAATGCTTAAAACTTAAGAAAATAATAGCAATGCCTTACAAGTTGACACATGTAGAGGTGGAAATATATGACAGCAATATTTTTTCAAAAAGGGCAAAAGAGAAAGTAAATGAACTTAAATTGACTCGTAGGATTACTGTTCTCTTTGGGAAGTGGTAAAAGAACCAACTGTATAGTAGACTGTAATAAGTCAATGATGCTTATTAAAATCAAATGTAACTAATGAAGAAAGAAAAAAAGAATATATAACTAAAAAGTTAATGGAGGAAAAAAAATGGAATGAAAAATGATCATCCAAAAGAGGTCAGGAAAAGAATAAAGGAACAAGGAACATGTGGGACAAGTAGAAAACAAATAGTGAAATGATAAAATTAAACTTAAAAATATCTATAATTAGGGGCACCTGGATGGCTCAGTCAGTTAAGCGTCTGAGTCTTGATTTGGGCTCAGGTCATGATCTCACTGTTGTGTGACTGAGCCATGTGTTGGGCTCTGCCCTGGGTGTGGAGCCTGCTTGAGTCTCTGTCTCCCTCCCCCTCTGCCCCTCCCCTGTTTGCGTGTTCTCTCTCTCTCTCAAAACACACACACACACACACACACACACACACACACACACACACACACAGCAACTGTATTCAATGTAATTGGACTAGCAATCCACTGAAAAAGCAGACTGTCAGACTGGATTAAAAGTAAAACCAGTGAACCAATTATATGTCATTTGCAAGAGACAGGCTTTAAATATAAGGACAGAGGGGGGCACCTGGGTGGCTCAGTTGGTTAGGTGTGTCCGACTTTGGCTCAGGTCATGATTTCACAGTTCGTGAGTTCAAGCCCCGTGTTGGGCTCTGTGCTGACAGCTCAGAGCCTGGAGCCTGTTTCTGATTCTGTGTCTCCCTCTCTCTCTCTCTGCCCCTTCTCTGCACGTGCTCTGTCTCTCTCTGTCTCTCAAAAATAAATAAACATTAAAAATTTTTTTTAAAATGAAATAAAATAAAAAGTAAATAAACATAAGGACACAGGTTGAAAGTAGAAGGATGACAAATGACATCACACAAACACTAAGCAACGAAAGCTGGAGTGGCTATATTATATTACACAAAATAGAAGTTCTACTTCTGGTAATGACAGAGGAGATCATATCAGACTAAACCTCCCGCAGGTAACAATTATACTCTGTTAAAAATATAAAAACAATAATCTTGGGGTGCCTGGGTGGTTTGGTTAATTAAGTGTCCAACTCTTAATTCAGTTCAGGTCATGATCTCATGGTTCATGGGTTCGAGCCCCATGTCGGGCTCTGTGCTGACAGCATGGAGCCTGCTTGGAATTCTCTTTTTCCCCCTCTCTCTTCCTTTCCCTCACTTGCTCGTGCTCTCTCTCTTTCTGTCTCTCTCTCCAAAATTAAATAAATAACCTTAAAAAAAAAACAAACAAACCATAATCTTAAGGCAATGGGAAGCTACCAAAAGCAGAGGGGAGTCAATACATGGAAAAAGGAAGCAGCTTGAGTGAGTTTCCCATTTTTATGGCTTTTCCAATGAGGACAGACCACAGGTGGTACGTTAATTAAAACTGACAGAATTAAGAGAAGAAATAGACAAACCCACAATTACAGTGGAGATTCTCACATCCTTTTCTCAGTAACTGATAGAACAACTACAGAAAAAAATCAGCAAAGATAATAAATACATGAACAACACTATAACTACCTGTCCAAATTGACACTTACAGAACCTTACTCCCCCAAATCACAGCATATATAAGTGCACATATGTTCAACAAAAACAGACCATATGCTGAGCCAAAACCAAATTTCAATACATTATAAATTCTAAAAAATGTATGACCACAACAAAACTAAATTATAAATTAATAATAGTATATCAAGAGCAACCCCTAAACATTTGTAAGTATTAGACAAAGGAGACTTTATAGCAAGAAGCAGTTTAGAGACTAAGAGGGACATGATATTCATAGGACCAGGCAACTTTTACAATTTTTAGAACTGATATCTGATCAAGTCTCTAGCTCTAAATACCAATTATTAGGAATTATAGGAAAACATAATAAATGACAATTTGGTAATGCAGTCAGCAAAATCCAGACAATCAGACACTCCTAAGAAAAAATGGTTAGCTTTCTTCAACAAATACATTCAAGGAAAAAAAAGGAAGAGGAACCTATTGATTAAATAACTTAAGAAACACGGATGCCTTTTGCTATATATGGACCTTAACTAGCTCCTAAATCAAAGAAGAAAAAAAAAGAGAGAGAGAGAGAGAGAGAGAGAGAGAGAGAGAGAGAGACTATAAGACAACTGGGATACCTGATAGGATCTAAATGATATTTATTTAATAATGGTGTTGTAGTATATTTTTAGAAAGTCTTTATCTTTTAGTGATATACCCTAAGATACCTATGAATAAAATGGGATGAAAAGATACAACATCAAGGATTTACTTCAAAATAATCTAGAGGTAGGGATAGCAGGTGGAGGAGAGGGAAGTATAGATGCAACAATATTGGCGAATACTTGAAAATAAATTATGGCTTCATTGGAACTTGTTCTACATTTCCCCCACTTATGGATATGAATAAAATTCTATATTACAAAAGTTCCCTAAAATATTCCCTAAAGTTCCCTAAAAAGGAAAAGGAATATCACCATGGCACCATGAGCTGTGAAAGGTATTTTATTCTAAAGATAGATAGTCAGACAGACAGACACACATTTCTTCTACAAGTAATCTCACTCAACACTGTTTCATCAGTACTTGGCATTTAATGATTCTTTGGGAAATATCTGTTGAATGAATAAAAGGGAGCAAGGAATTAGTTACTTCAAGGGTGTGTGTGTGTGTCTGTGTGTGCATGTATGCACATGTGTGTACATGCTTGTGTGAAATTTCCCTAATTAATAATGATACTGAGTACTTTTTCATAAGTTTATTCACTATTTGGATTTCCTTTTGGACAAAAAGCCTGTACATGTCACTAAGAGAAAAACAATAGCAATTGGTTAAGTCCTCTTTCTGTACTCTGGATATACACCAACTATCAATTATGTGGTTGCAATTTTTTTTTCTCATTTTGTAGCTTATCTTCACTTAATAGTGTCTACTGATGTATAAAAAAATCTTAATTTTAATGTAGTCAAATAATTAAATGTCTTCCATTTTAGTTATTGCTTTTTTATCTTGTTCTAGAAAACAATTCCTAGTCTGGGACTATGAAATAATGTTCTTACACATATCTTTAAAGCTTTATTGTTTTTTTCTTTCACATTTCAGTTCTATGATCCATCTGGAATCCAGTTTTTGACTATGGTGTGAATTAGGATTCCAATTTTCTCTCTCTAAATAGATACCCTTATCGCAATAAAATTAATTTTAAACTGTCATACTTTTATCAATGCCTGCAATGCCCCTCTTCATAAATATGTCACCTGCATATGCAGAGGTCTGCAAGATGTTCTGCTGGAATGAAACAAAGCAATTTTCAAATAATAAGGCATAAGCTTTCTGATTTTTCTTTCTAGCCTCAGAGGATTATCCTGCATTCCAACTGAAAACCACAATCATAGAAACAGTAACAACTTCAAATAGAACAGTAGGTTCTGTAAACTGTTCCAAATTTATCTAAGAAAGATAGCTGTTTGGAATTAATGCTCTCTAAGATTGGAATCACTACTACTTTCTTTGGTATTTTGATTTATTTCTAGTTCATTCATTCATTAAACAAAGTTGCAGACACAAGGATAAAATAGTCCTTGCTGTTGAGAAACTTAATTGTCTGGAGGAGATGCCATTCCAGTAAAGAAACAAATGCAATCTCATAAGGTAAATTCTACCGTGCATGACACAGACAGGCAAAAGATGCTATGAAAGGAAAGAGGAGAAGGCACTCTTCTATGAGGATCGAGTTTCCTGTGTTGGTAAGAATGGTGGAGTGGCAGGAGTTGAGGAAGGCAGAGATAACATCCTGAATTGATTTATGTCACACTAAGGAGTCTGGATAGAGTGTACAATGGGGAAGCATCGACAGCTTTTCAATTACCTGATTTGCATTTTGGAAAGTAAGAAATGAGGAACAAATTCAGGCACTTACAAGGTTAATAACTTCAACAATTTATGTTTATCTAAAAGAAACATTATAATCCTACTTTTGAACAAAATGAAAAGCTGCTATCTATGGACATTTAAAGAGTAAAAGGCTTGAAGTGAGAAGTTGCCTGCAATTGCTTCTGAACATAGAACAGAGATTAAGGAGAAAAGGAATACAGCTAACATTTCAAGTGTACATACCTATAGCAAGATGCTCCATAGGGACATTCAGGCCTCTCATCAGCCTCATCTTGACACATGATTTGTATGCCTCCATAATCACTATCTCCAGGGTGACTGAAGTGTTGAAAATGGACAGGATTCTTCCTAGGAGGGTGGCAAATATACAGAAAAAATAATTAATAGGGTATACTAGAGTTCTAGATATACTACAAAAAATAATTTGTAAGATATGGCAGGAAACCAAGCAATACACATCTAATTATTCCAGAAATTGAATCAATGAGCTACATTGTTAAAAACAAAACTCATGACATCTACTCGGTACAGAGCTCTCCTGGTCCCAAAACAAAGTATCATGGTGATTCACAAACACAAGTAGAAAAATATAAAGAGGGGCGCCTGGGTGGCGCAGTCGGTTAAGCGTCCGACTTCAGCCAGGTCACGATCTCGCGGTCCGTGAGTTCGAGCCCCGCGTCGGGCTCTGGGCTGATGGCTCGGAGCCTGAAGCCTGTTTCCGATTCTGTGTCTCCCTCTCTCTCTGCCCCTCCCCCATTCATGCTCTGTCTCTCTCTGTCCCAAAAATAAATAAACGTTTGAAAAAAAAAAAAGAAAAAAAAATTAAAAAAAAAAAAAGAAAAATATAAAGAAAAAAGCACCAGCAGAATGCCTTAAACACAACTTACAATTCTCTTGATAGTTACATTATATACTACAACTGTTTATGAAGTCATCTTTCTAATATCTAAATAAGACATTACATAAGCATGTGTTTAGGTCTGGGTGATTAAATTCTCAAGTCTGGACTACCTAGTTCATGTCCTTGCATTAATCAGCATGTCTACATATGAAACATTTAATTCCCTCACAGTATCTTGAAAGTCTCTAGCAGGATTTGCAGGAATGAATACTGAGACAGTGCAAACCAGTAGAAACATGATAAAGCTCCTAACCTTTAGGCCAATGTATTTTATTAGGCTTTTAACACACATGTACCACATAGCTACATGCTATGGAAACAACAAAATTTCGTGCTACCTGTAATTTCATTTTACCTGTAGCAGTTTGCCCCATACATACAGGATGTCCTCTTGATCTTGTTTTCTTCAGAACCTTGTGGAACTGAATCAGTTGCCTTTGCATGCAAAGTTTCAGGATTGGAGAGATCAGAACTGGACTCAGGAGGAGATCCTTGAGACTCCTCGTGGAAGGACTTGTCCTGGGCAGTCAAGTAACCCTCAGAACAGTCCATCATCTTGCCTTCTTTATCTCGTGTTCCTTTCATAATAATCTTATGTTCAGGAACCTTACCACATTCCTCTATTGGGATTTCACTTCTCTGTGTATTAGCCTTCTTATTATTTACTTCTGCATTATTTAATATGATTGCAGAAGATGACTGCGGCATTTCCTACAAGGTAAATCAGAAAGAAGACACTAGAAATAAATGAAACGTACTTTAAAAGAAATATGTAAACTTAATAAAAGGCATGAAATTGCAAGATTCATTCAATATTATATTTTTTAAACTTCAAGATTCACATTTTAAAATTATTTAAAATGCTGTTTTCCATGTCTCTAATTTGGTAGCTTTAAAACAATCTACAGTTATTAGAAAAGGAATATACAGCTGTATCAAACCTTTACAATTATGTCAAACATTCACTTAAAAATAACCAGAAAAATACAAATGAAACATAAGAGAATACAACTTTGCTTCCAATTGAATATAATCTTTCCCCCCAAAACTACTAGTCTTTTAAATTCCCCATTCAATAATGTGTCATGCTCTTAACTTGAACTGTCTTTATAATTTCTAAGTTATTGCAATACTTTATTTCTGCCCTCTAAATATAATCATGACTTTTTTCCTTTAGCTAAAATAAAACTGCTCCTCCCTCACAGAAAAATTGGTATGAAGGTGTGTCATGAAAGACTCAGAAAATAAATATGACTCCCTTGAAGTGGTCTGAACAAAAGTTTCAGTTTAACCAAAGGGTGTTTTGAACCAAGTAAATATTCTCATTAGCACTGCAGAATCTTTTTAATCTGTACTTACCACCAGGAACATTAAACCTAGTCATATCCTATTAAAAACAACTTTTTAATTACTTATACATCCTGTGGAGTGGAAACATTGTCAGATAAACTTCGGTCTTGCTGGTAACCACTTCTAGGATGTGATGACAACATAACAGGTATATACGAAGGTTCACACCAATTTATAACTAAGGACTCATGTATGCTGGCCTGCCATCTGGAGAAAGCTGGTTTTAATATTCTTAACAGCCAATGGCTCAAATTTCCTGTGAAGATACTAATTAGCATGACTTTTTTGGGACTAATTACTTAAATGTTTTGATAGTCTTTTCTTTTTTAAGAAACATAGTATGTAACTTTAAAATGCAATCCAAACGGACTAAAGACCTTGCAAAAGGAACCTAGTTCTTATGTTTCTTGTATAATAATAAATAACCCATGGGAAAGGCAATTGTTTGGGTACCTCTTGGAGCTGACCCTCAGCTGGTGGCATTCATGCCACACCTGTCTATAACACACACTCTTTTCTCCCAAGCTGCTCAGTTACAACCCAATCTCCTCTCCCTCCAGTATAGGACCAACTGACAAATGCCAGGGACTAGAACTCTGGGGTGGGAATGGGGCAATCCTGCCCCACCTCCCCACTTGGCAGTTCCCCACTGGGTCAACTCACCAATTTTCTTTCTCCCCGTTTAAGTAGAAGTAGGGCAGGTTAGCAGATGTTCAATAAAATGCCAGTCTCTTATTCCCTGTTGGCATCTCTAAATTCCACAATGAATTCTCTTGCACTTTGGGTTTTCAAAAGAGAGAACATAACATCTCCCTACAAACACAGCACTCCCTAAATCTTAAAATTTTCTGGCCTCTCAGTTCTGTTTGTATAAAGCCTGGGGGTTGGGTAGTGAACACTTCTCAAATCTTTCAATAAGCTTCACAAGGAAAGGCCTGGCTACCACTGCTGGGGGCTCCTTTCAAACATGAGATACCTACACTTAGTACTTTTGTCCCCAGCTCTGGGCCTCAGCAGCAGTTCTCAGATGATAGAGGGAAAAAAATCCCACTCAACATCCTGTCAGTCATGATAGGGAAAAAAAAGGACACAACTGGGGAAGTAGTTAAATAAATTAGAATCCATTTTTACCATGAAACACCGTGCAGAGGTGGAAAATGAATAGATCTCTCTATATATGTATCTAAGGATTTTTAAATTAAAAATTAAATATATGTACACACACACACACACACATATATATATACATATATATTATGATTCCATTTAGCTTTAAAAAAAAACCCTATATACCTATGTGTATACTTACTTGTACAAATCAAAATAAAAGGTTTAGAAGGATACAAACCAAAATATTAGTAAGGCCAATGGGACTGAAGGATAAGGCAAATCAAGATTTTCACTTTATACTCCACATGCTCTGACATTCTATTTTTTGACAATAGCCTGTATTTTTTGCCATTTAAAAAATAAAAAACAAACCAAAGAAAATGAAATATAAGATATAAAATGTTTAACATTATTTCAACTGTCCCTACTGTTTCTTAAAATAAATCTTCACAAAGAATAAGTTTAACATGATAATTTATTCTAAAAGAAAAAGGAGTGATAAAGACACAGATATCAATACTACGGATCAGGTGTTCTCAAATATATTTGAAGAGGCACAAAAGCTGGAATTCATAATGTTCTTTATGGAACTTCATGAAATATTGATACTCAGTAGACTTTTGGCATTCAAGAATTTAACGTTCATGATTTCAATTATTTATAAATGATCCCCAAAATCCATTACATGCAGTAATTTGTAAGTTTGCTGAGACACAAATTCAACCTGTGCCAGTTACAGAGCTCAGGAGCCAGTCACAGAACTGGCGGGGGAGGGGATAGGAAAGATGGAAGGTACTCTGTACTCGGAAGAAGCAGAAGAAAGGCAGAGAGGTCCATGTGTTATAAGAACCTACACTGCTTATTTCTTAGATTTGATGAAAATATGAAGAATGAAATGTGGGAGGCTGAAGATTCATGATAGAGAACCCAGGTTTCCTTTGCTATAAAAATATACACTAGAGGCCTCAGGGATCAAGGAGCATGGAGTTGGTGTAAGGTGATCTTGGACTGGGAGGTGGCTGGAATGTACTATTAAGGCTATTAAAATAGTCTTGTTAATCCAGCATGCCCTCCCTTGCCCCTAAACCATCTGAAGTTTTAATGTACCAGAAGAGACAGGATAAAGAACTTCTTACCAATTCAAGTTCATTGAGGTAATTTGCTACCCTTGGAAAGAATGTCTGTATTAAGTTGCCTTAAAAGTCCTGCATTAGTCTTATTAGCACCCACATACTAAGGATTCAAAAATCCCAGCCTCCAGAGGCACCTGGGTGGCTCAATCGGTTAAGCATCTAACTCTTTATTTCACCTCAGGTTATGATCTCACACTTCATGAGTTTGAGTGCTACATTGGGCTCTGTGCTGACAGTGCAGAGCCTGCTTGGGATTCTCTCTTTCTCTTTCTCTTTCTCTTTCTCTCTCCCTCTCTCTCTCCGCCCTCCCCCCCCTTCTCATTCTCTGTCTCAAAAAAAAAAAAAAAAAAAAAAAAAAAAAAAAAAAAAGTCCCAATCTCCAGTCCCGCATTCATTCTTGAACTTCAAACTTATACTCAACCACTAGCTAGACATTGCTTCCTCAATATCCTACATACTTTGAACTCAAAATGTCAAAACTGAAATCCTTCCCTGAATTCTGTACCCAAGATTCTGCCAACAAGACTTCTCCATCTATTCTAGCCAGAAACTTGGAAGTCTGTCTTTCACTCCTTTCCCTCACTCTGCCCAGATCCAAGCAACAAGTCCTGCAGTTTTGTTTCTTAAAGATTTCTCTAACCCAACGGCTTTGTGTCATCCTTAATGCTACTAACCTCGGTCACATTCTCTTAATTTCTTGACTGAGATGTCCTGATCTCCTCCCTCATCCCCCTGTCTTTTATTTTGTTCTCTTTCCATCTCTCCTCTAAAGAGCTGCCAGGATTATCTTCGTGGCCAAAAACATTTTAAGGTCCTCCCTCTGCAACTGGTCCCCACTGCCAGCTCCAACCTCATCTCACATTGTTGCCCAGCTTTACCTGAGAATTCTAAGAACAACAGTTCCCAGCATACTATTTGTACCCTCTATTTGCTCCTATTTGCTCCTGTACCTGCTACCCATCTACTTGGAGTCCTACCTCTACCTCTTCTGCACCTGGTTCATGCCTACTCCTCTTCTGTTAAGATTCAACTCAGATCACTTATGCGAGGATCCCTTCCCTAGAAGTTGGCTTAGGCAGTCCACAAGGCCCCCAGAAAAATCAATGTGGTGTCACGTTATTTCATGATTTTGAAGTATGTCCCCCACAAGACTATGAACGACTTACCAGCTATCTTACTCACTTTTTATCCTACATTCCTTGCATATAACAGAAAGACTGCTCGTGTAATGATTATTAGAAAGGTCTTTGAAGTAAAAAATCATATTTTGATTATCAGTTTAGCCATTTCTTAACTTTTGAATATGAACAAGTTGATTTAAATTCTCAGAGTCTTGGAGCACGTGAGTGGCTCAGTCAGTTGAGTGTCCAACTTCAGCTCAGGTCATGATCTCACGGTTCACAAGTTCGAGCCCCATGTTGGGCTCTGCGCTGACAGCTCAGAACCTGGAGCCTGGTTTGGATTCTGTGTCTCCGTCTCTCTCTGCCCCTCCCCTGCTCACACTCAGTCTCTCTCAAAAATAAATAAAAACATTAAAAAAAATACAGTAAAATAAACTCTCAGAGTTTCAGGTCTCTTGATCTGTATACTGGGGATATTATCAATCAACTTTCCAGGATTTTCTAAAAATTAAATGAAATAAGTATATCTTAATGGTGGGTCTAGCCCATAATTAGGGCTCGATAAATGCTTGTGTGTATGTGTGTGTGTAAGTTGTTTTTATCAATGGCATTATCAATGCCATTATATTACTACTATTTGTTTAATGAGTGCTTACTGAATAAATGAATGAATAAAAAGATGTTTCTGTGGGGCTCATCAGAGCCATGCCATAAATGGCATTATATGGCTAGTCAGAAGCAAAGGATATAGGATTTTTTGATGTACTAAACCAGTATCAAGGAGCTCTGGGGAATATAGCCTTACTTAAGACATGGCTGCACAATAAGAGTTATATTTTTCATCTCCCCTGCTATTTTCGTAAAGAAATAGGAGTAAGACTCCACAGCAGGCATCTGTATACAGAGAAATGAAATACCTAACAGCCAGCATACTCACGTCAGCAATTATTAGCACAGGGGAAGCTGCATATACATACAGAACAGGCAGTGAAACCAG